TCTAATCCTAATGCCACATTTCTCCTCATAAAGTCCAGCCTCCTGGATAATCTGTTCTGCATGTAGATTGAAAAGGTATGGAGATAGGACACATCCCTGGTGAACACCCTTCCCAATTTTGAACCATGCAGTGTTTCCTTGATCTGTTCTGATGACTACCTCCTGGTCCGAGTACAGGTTTGACATAAGCACTATCGAGTGTTCATTCTTCTCAGAGTCAATTTGTTGTGATCCACACAGTTAAATGCCTTTGAATAGTCAATGAAACTCAGATAGACATTTTTTGATACTCCTACTTTCAGCCGAGATCTATCTAACATTAGCTATAGTATCCCTAGTAACACAGCCTCTTCTAAATCCAGCCTGTACTTCAGGCAGTTCTTTGTTCATGTGCTGTTCCAGTTGTTTTTAGATTATCTTCAGCAGAATCTTGCTTGCATGTGATATCAAAGATATTTGATAATTTCTGCACTCTGTCAGGTCACCTTTCTTTGTAATGAGAACAAATACAGATCTTTTCTAGTCAGTTTTCCATGTGTTTGTCCTTTAGACTTCTTGGCACAACTTGGTGAGGACATCCAGGACAGCAACTGCTTGTTGAAATATGTCAATTGGTATGGCATCAATTCCTGAGGCCTGGTTTTTTGCCAATTCTTTCAGAGCAGCTTGAACTTGTTCCTTCATCACCACAGGCTCTTGTTCATACGTTGTTTCATGAAATTCTTTGTCTGCCAATTCCTTTTGGTACAATGGCTCTGTATACTCTTTCCATCTTCTTTTAATGCTTCCTGGATCATTTAATATTCTGGCCAAAGCATCAGTAAGAATTGCAACTCAAGGCTTGAATTTGTTGTTCAGTTACTTCAGCTTAAGAAATGCTGAGTGAGTTCAGCTCCTTTGATTTTTCTGATTCCAGCTCTTAGCACATTTCATTATAATATTTTACTTTGTTTTTCTGTGCTGCCCTTTGAAAGCTTCTGTTCAGCTGCTTAATATCTTGATTTCTTCCTTTTGCTTTGGCTTCTTGGCGTTCCAGTGCAATAGTCATAGTTTCTTCTGACATCCATCTTGGTCGTCCTCCTCTGTCTTTGACCTTTTGTATTCTTACTGGATGATATTCTTGATATCCTCCCACAGTTCATCTGGTCTTTGCTCATTAGTGTTCAGGGACTCAAACCTGTTTCAGAGATGCTTTTGTAATTCCAGTGGAATAGACTCAAGGTCAAATTTTGGTTCCCATGGATTTGATCTAATTTCCCTCAGCTTCAGCTTGAACCTGTGTAGGAGTAGTTGGTGGTCAGTTCCACAATCAGCAGTTGGCCTAGTTTTTGCAGCTGAGATTAAGCTTCTCCAACAATTCATTCCACAGATGTAATTAATCTGATTCCTATGCATGCCATAAAGTGAAATCCACTTTTATAGCCTGTGTTTATATTTCTTATAAAATGTATTTGCAATGAATAAGTTGTTGATTGTGCCAAATTCTATCATTCTATTTCCAGCTTCATCTCTGTCACCAAGTCCATGTTTTCCAACTACTGATCCTTTTTTTCCTGTTCTCAACTTTTGCATTCTAGTCACCCATTCTTATTAATTCATTTTAATTATATGTTATATCAATTTCTGACTGCAAAGGTTGGTAGAAATATTCTATTTCCTCATCTTTGGCTCTGGTTGTTGGTGCATATAATTGAATGGTGGTAGAATTCACTGGACTTCCTTGTATGTATATGGATATTATCATGTCTCATAACATGAAAAACAATACAAATTATGATAGCTAACCACAAAATTAAATACTTAGAAGCAAATTTAACTAGACACACAAAAGACCTGTATAAAGAAAGTTGCAAATCACTACTAAAGGAAACAAAAATTGACCTAGAGAGACGGAATAATGTATCATGTCCATATATAAGAAGATTAAATATTGTTAAAATGAGTTTTACCAAAGGCAACCTACAAATTCAATGCAATCCCAATATAGATATCACTCCATTCTTCAGTGAGATGGAAAAGGCACTTTCCAATTTTGTTTGGAAAGGAAAGAGATCTTGAATTAGCAAAGCACTAATGGAAAAGAAAAAACAAGTTAGGAAGCCTAACACTCCCTAATCTCAAAAAGTACTACACACCATAGTGTCAGTTACTACTTTCCAGTGAGAAGATTAAGCACTTATGCTTTATGGTCTACACTTTTCAGTTTAATTCTTAGTAACTAAGCTAAACACTTAGTGGTACCATCTAGAGCCTCCTAAAGTGACAATAATCTGTATTTTTAGTCCTATATCATTTATCTTATTTCCTCTGAAATAACTCTTTTTTATGTTTATATGTGATAAATGTATATATATTTTTTTAAATCACAGTTATTAGGATTACTTGTGGATGGATTTGGAAGCAAATCTGGCTCATACATGCTCACTCAATTTGGGGAGTAATGTCTAGGATAAGAATACTTCCCAAAAGCACTAGGCCTTATAACAAGAGGCAAGTGTTTCTAGTCAATCTAATAGTCAATTAAAAGAGTTTATACTGGGTTACAAAATTGTCCTTAAATATTCTTCTGTTGTGTTACTTTCTAACCAATAATATTTAACGTTTATTGCTTTTTCTCTAAACCGTAAACAGCTCTCTTGGTATTATCAAGCTTTAATATCAAACTTTAATTTTTTTTATCTCAGTGGATATAGTATCCATTTTTTAATTTATGTCTTTAATTGTGAATTTAGCTGAGTATATTTCATATGCTCACAGGGTATTTGTACCTTGTACAAAATTTATCTAGGATAACCTTAAGTGAATTACTGTATTTATTATATGAGCAGTTGAAGAACAAGTGGTTCACTTTTATAAAAGTTCACTTGCACAATTAGTATCTTAAAGGGTTTTTAAATAATTGTATTTTGTTTGAATTTAAATCAGTTGTAATTGAACAGTAACTCAATTGTCATCTATTCTTCCTGAACTTTTTTTTTTAAGAAATTATTTGGAACTTGTTGCAAAGTCTATTCAAGATTGGGTCACAAAAGAAGAAGCTATATATCAGGAATCTAAAATGGCTGAGGATATAGCTAAGATCTATGCTGATGCAGAAAGCAAAATGGCTAGCAAAGCATCTTTGCCAAGCAAAAATATTTCTCCTAAAAAATCTAAAAGTGAGTAACCAATTTCATTTACCCTTGCAGTTAATTCCAAGAAAGCATTAAAGTCACCTATTCCTTTAATGAGAACATGAACATTTCAGGGTTGAAAACTTGCCCAAAAAATTCCTCTGACTTTTCAATTCCTTCAATACATTGAATATTAGGATTTGAGCCTAGTTGTGGTAATGGGATGCTTCCCTTATATTGAATTCACTTTTTTTCTGTCACATCAGAAAGATCAAATATGATGTATTTGGGAAATGCTGAATGTTTTAATTTTGATGCAATTTATAAATTCAGCTGTTCTCAATTTTTTTTACAATACATGAGATTTTGTATTTGTTTTTGAAATTTTGCATTATTTTAATGGAGACCCACATCTTGATCATTGTAAGAGCTCAGGTTCACTTGAGATGACTACTAGGAACTGCACAGAAAAAATTCAGTGGCAAATGACTACAGAGGTGAACTTGATAGTTTTTGATAACTCTCTTCAATCCAGAACTTTGGTGCTTCTATGACATCTTATGAGAGTTTAATTTTCTTTGGTTGTAGGTAACAAAGGAATGAGCAAAGCGGATGTATCAGAGAGTGAAAAGGAGAGAGAAAAAGAGAAGGAAAAGCTTTCTTTCGTTTTAGAAGGTTCTCTTAAGGTAATTAATTCAAAGGAAGACAAATGATACAAAGTAGTCAAAATTCCAGAAATTATTTTGTGATGAAAAGTGTGTGTGGTATAACAGGAAATGATGTTTCTGCTAAACCCACAGGAATAATGGAATCTTCAATAGAAAGATTATCTCTCCACCAAGCAGTCCTCTCTACCAGATGATAAGCCTTTAAGGAAAGCTGTGTTTTATTACACTTTGTTTTTTAATAAAAGTTTTATTTTACACTGATTTACTTACAAAGTTCATATACATTAGTTTTCACACTGGATCTTTCCTATTTCCTTTACCTATTCCTCCCTCCACCCATCAAATTGTGCAACCCTGTAATTA